AGCCCCCGGCCCCCGACTGCTACGGGCCGCTCTCGGGGCAGCTGATGGCCACCATGAGGGACGCGTGCCGCTGCGCCCTGCAGGCCAAGCCCCAGCGCCTGATGGCCGCCATGTACACGTGCGACGTCGTGGCCACCGGGGACGTGCTGGGTAGGCGCCCTCGCGAGCCCCCGGCCCCCGACCCCCGGCCGCACTCACCCAGCTCCGAGACCTGCGCGTCGCCTCTGGCCGCGTCCTCGGGACTGACCTCGCTGTCGATTCTGTTTGCTTTGAACTGTGACTCTAACACTCGACCGGGACCCCGAGTGAAGCGAGGATGGAATTTTTTGGGGAACGGCCCGTGGGGCCCGGACCCCTGGACGGGCACATTCTTAAGAGGCTGAGTCACTTCACTGAAGTTGAAATACACGAACAGCAGAAGCGTCCAGGCGGCGGAGGTGAAGAGGCATCCGTAGCAGAAGTAGCGGGCGGTGGCGCTTCCCATCATCGCCCTAGCCCCGCAGGGGCGCCATCGCCGCTCTCCTGGAAGACAAGACAGGTGAGACGCTGCGGACCTGCCGCTCGCCGCCAGCTGGGCAGCGGCCGAGGCCAAGCACAGGCCGCCCCGGGCCGCTGGCCGCCCACCCACTCGCCGCCGGCAGACTCGTGTGCAGGTCGGCAAGCTCAGGAGGGGGGACGGGCCCCACAAGCAACCTGGGGCGAGACCGACAGTCTCAGCCAGCTGCGGGCGAAGCAGCCGAGGCCCCGAGGACGCCCCTCCTCCACCCCGGCTGCGTCCAGTCACCGTGTCCGCCCTCGGGCTCTGCCCACTCAGGCAGCACAATCCCTGCGGCCGGGGCCTTTCCCTGTGACCGCCCAGAGAGGCCGGGGCGGCTCCCCGGGGGACCCTCGGGGGCTCAGCTGCAGCGGCTGCCTAGTGCTGCCCTTAACCCCTGTGCCACGGGTGGGGGTGGGGCGTGCCGCAGCTTCCATTTCCAGCTGGAACCCCCGACCCCTCCTCACCGGCGCCAGCAGCACCCTCAGTCTGCCTTCCCTTCTCTCCCGGCCGCCCCCCTCCCTGGCCGGAGGGGACCCCAGGCAGGTGACTCGGTCAGGCTGTGCGGTGGGAAAGGGAGGCCTCGGCGGGCTCCGGGAGAGGCCGCGGCGCAGGGAGACGGGAAGCCCACGGCCAACTCGCCCCTCGGAAGGGCGTGGGCCAGACAGGACGTGGGCGAGTCCTTCCCAGATGCCACCGTGACAGGACGAAACCGCAGCGGTGAGAGAAGTCCCAGTGGAGGTGGCGGCCTCAGAGCCAGGCAGTGAAGGTGCCGCTTTGCCAGCCAGCGGGATACGGCCAAAGTCACCCGGTGGTGACGTCAGAAAACACAACACAGGCTCTGAGTTAAGAAAGACGCATCTGAGTGACCCGATTAGAAGGAGCAGTAGCTCGTAACTGTCCTTCCTCACACTGGCAGGAGTCAGCAGAGAACGAAGGTGAACAGCAGCCTAAAGCCGACTCCAGCGGGAGACGCCCGGAACAAGCAGAGGGTGCGGGGAGCGAGGGGGGCCGGCGAGTGCCCGTGCGTGAGGCGGGCAGCGGCGCCAGGAGCGCTCCGGACCCACTGGGGCAGGCAGAGAGGGGAGACGCGCCCCACCTCTCCGCCCCGGCCGGCCGAAGCACGTTCATCCGCGCGAGGACAGTGGAGGACGAACAGACGCCGCGCCGGTCTCCGCCCTGACACTGCCAGTGCCGTCTCGGGCGCGGGTCGCGCCTGGCTGCAGGGCCAGGCCAGGCGGCAGCCGCGTCTGGCACCAAGGAGCCCCCGCGGGCGCCACCCCGCTGTCCACTCGGCCAGTGCGAGGCGACACGGAGCGCGCTCCCCGCGGGGAGAGGCCGACTCTGTTGCCCACGCTCTCCCCTCCCTCGGCACAGGAGCGGCGCGGGAGCCAGAGCCGCCGGAGCGAACCCGGAGCCCTCGACCGCTGTCCCCTTGTCCTCCTCCTCACGAGGCCTCAACTCGTGCACGA